GTGATATCACAGAATTACACTGCCGATAATTGGATATATATGTGAACGTTTATATCTCTTACATGTAAGAGATCATGTATTTCTATTTAACAGCACTGTCTGTTTGACTTTTTTTGTTTTGTTATTGCAATAATCCCTTTGGAAGGGATTTGTATTATGTAATATACTGTATATTTGAAATTTATTATCATTTATATTATAGTTCTATTTGTTAAATAAATTAATTTTAATGTACCCTTGTGTGTAATTGGGGAAAAGCAACACAAACTATCAAACACTTTAAACGACATCGGCTAGACTTGCAATGCTCAGAGATGCCGAGATATTTAAATCCATACACTTTATAACACAGTATCCATTGATTTCTTTATATACAAGTTATCATTTCGCTTTTGGAACATCAAACTGACTAATCTACCATGCATCTGATACCTTGCATGTAAACCTCAAGCTTTGAGGACAATGTGGCGCCTTCTAAGACGTCCAAAAACCTTTCATATGTGTCATAATACAGTGGGAGAAAAGTGGTCGAAGTAAAGGAGTGGGGAATAAGAAACTGTAAATTATTTTTTTTTGTCGTTTTCAGGTATTTAAACACTTTTTAAATATATTTTGTGATACGAGATTAGTTACCAGAATGAAAAAGTAAGTTTTATTTCTTTAAACTATAACTCATGCACAGCTTTTACAGTTGCTAGCTGTAGAATTATCAGATCACGTCATCTATATGAGTTGTGTTTATCCTGTATTGTGGTGATGATTGGAGCTGGTTGAGCGGCTGCAGAGGCTGGCACAATCTCGGTTTACAGAAATGGCATGCTGTAATTCCCTCTAATAACTGTGTAAGAGGTCTATCAGAACCCAAGAAGTTGTGTTATTTTTCATGTGTACAGCTGACTTCCTTTCCAAACACTGCCATACAAACATAGCTGATGAGCCTATGGTGGCCTAAAATGGCTGCTAAGACAGAATAAAGGACTTTACAGCTAAGTTAAACCCAATGAAATTTACTTTTGAAAAGTGTTATTTTTTTTTTATTTATAACTAGCAACCAGATATTTTGCTTTATTTTATTTTGATCCTTTGCCTTGGGTTGCAAATCCTCTTTCAATCTGGTATTGCTGAACCAGTCTGGGATGATGAAAACGAGGGCAAAGAAAACTTATTATGCAATTGTTATGCATAGTAATAGCTGCTTCATTGTTCAGAGGGTGACATGGGGAGCCTGAATTCTTGCTATGGAAAACAATTTCACTTTTTTTCAATGTTTAATTAAAATAGTGGATCTATCAATAAAAAAAATGAGTTATTTGAAGTGTTATTTTAAATGATAGGTCCAGTTTTAAGGTCAAAATTACTATATCACATTCAATGTGTGAGTAAAAAAGTAACTCTTTCTTGCCCTGAATTAAAAAAACAAAACTGCTCTGAGCTTCATCATACCACTTACAACTAAGGCAAAAGTGGCATGTTCTCTGGCTACCATATGCATTTGAGGTGTTTCATGTCATTATAGACTGCAGAGAATCCTTTGCTTGTACTCAGAGGGACCTTATCAGTGCGAGAACAGGGTCAGCAGGAGGCAAATCCTGCTTACATAATGAGCAAATATGGCTGCCCGGTGTAAACATGTAATTAGTAACTACATATAAACATGCTTTTTTAATGTTAATACACTTTTTGATAACATTATTTACACTTAGCTGATCGCTTTGTAGATCTAAAAAAATATTTATTGTCAAATACCTATAAATGTTAAAAAGGTTATTGTACTCATAGACATAAGACAGCAGTCTGAAAGCTAAAATTAGAGGGGGGGGGGGGGGATTAAAACCACCCCTGGGGGG